AGATTCCACCAATACGGTGGTGATTAGGTTGATTTGCAGCAAGTCGCGAGTCGCACCTCTGAAAGGGGTAACCATTCCTAGGTTGGAGCTATGCTCCGCTTCTCTTCTTAAGAAGCTTTATGTAGAAACAAAACCCCAATTCAATTTCCCGATCGATCAAACTATTTTTTGGTCCGATTCCACCATCGTTCTGGCCTGGTTAAGAAAGGCCCCACATCTGCTAAGAGTTTTCGAGTCAAACAGAGTTGCCGACATTCAAACGTTGGGAGATCAGGTCGAATGGCGGCACGTGCGTTCGGAGGACAACCCGGCGGACGCTCTTTCCAGAGGTCAGTTGCCATCCGAGTTTATTAACAATTCACTCTGGACTGCGGGTCCCCCGTGGCTTGCTCTTCCGCCGCGCGATTGGCCGGCATCTGCTCATCTCTCCCCCAAAGATTTACCAGGACTCAAATAAGGAATCTGTTTAGTGACCAATCCAGTTCTAGTTTCTTCATTCAGTGAAGTCTATTCACGTTTTTCTTCCTATGATCGTTTCATTAGGGTAATAGCATATGTCTCACGATGGAGACTCAAATCTAGAAAACCAAACAAACGCATTTAGCTGTTTCCCGAAATTACAGATCCCTCAAAACGAATTAGAAAAATCATAGCGTTGATACGTCCGTTATTAGTTCTTGAAGTTGCATCTTCTGAAACTAAAATTCTCAAGCTTCTTCAACAAGAAAGATTTTCACTAGAACTTCGTCATTTATCAAATTCATCTGGATCGCGTCGCAAGGGAACTAGTTTCGACAAGCTAACTCCGTTTATAGATGATCAGGGTCTCATTCGCGTAGGGGGGCGTTTGAAAGAGGCTGATCTTCCATATAATCAAAAACATCCAATTCTATTACCCAGGGATCATCATCACATAACTGATCTATTAATTCGTCAAGTTCATCGTTCCAATTTGCATGCCGGAATTCAAACTACACTTTATGCTATCAGGTTCAAATTTTTCATCATCAACGGAAAGAGACAAATCCGCAAAATCATCCGTAGTTGCATAGACTGTATTCGTCAAAAACCACCAGCGGCTCATGCTCAGATGGGCAATTTACTTAAGGCCAGAGTAGATGGATCTCCGGCCTTTGATCACACCGGTGTTGACTTCTTTGAGCCCATGCTCATTAAAGAAAAGAAAAATCGAAATAAGTCCTTCCTAAAGGTCTACGGTAGTGTTTTTATCTGTTTAGCCTCAAAGGCCGTTCACATCGAACTCGTATCAGATTTGTCTACTGAAGGTTTTTTGATTGCTTTCCGTCGGTTCGTCTCACGTCGAGGCATACCAAGTAATGTGTATTCCGATAACGGCACCAATTTCATAGGTACAGACAGACAGCTTCAAGAACTTTACGGCCTTTTCGAGAAACCCGAATTTCGCGAAGGGGTGGGCGAACATGCTATCGCGAAAAGAGTCCAATGGCATTTCAACCCTCCCTTGTCGCCTTACTTTGGAGGTCTTTGGGAGGCAGCTGTAAAGAGCTTTAAACACCATCTTAAACGGATACTAGACAAACAACTTACGTTTGAACAACTAGAAACACTCTTAATCGAAATTGAAGCGATATTAAATTCGCGACCTTTGTGTGCTCTTTCAGCTGACCCCAATGACCCACTAGCTATTACACCTGCGCATCTTTTCATCGGATGCCCATTCAATGTCTTACCCGAGGAATCTTTGATTTCAGTTCCAAGTAATCGTCTGTCGACCACTAACTTCATGACCCAGGCCCGACAAACCTTCTGGATGAAGTGGCATCGGGAATATCTCCAAGAGATCCAATTACAACAAAAATGGCATACGTCAAACTCAGAAATTAAACCTGGACTGGTTGTCCTCATGATGGATGACCTAACGCATTGTACAAGGTGGCCACTGGGCGTAATCCTCGAGGTCTTTCCTGGGAGTGACGGCATCGCTCGAGTAGCTTCTGTGAAAACTACATCTGGAGTCTACAAGCGCAATATTACTCGATTATGTATCTTACCGACAGAACAAGAGAATAGTTCCCCTATAGTTCCTCAATAACTTCCAAATTCTAATCGTTGATTGGCCCCAGATGTGCGCGATTGGGTTTGCCGTAAATGAGTCGAACCCTATCGTATTCTGAGAGGCAGCTGCATTCTGAGAATACAGCCTATAAGCCTGGTCCGAGAATGGTGAAATCGGGAAATTTTCACAGCCAGAAGCTCAAAGTTTTTTGAGACGCGGTATCCGGTCCGGAGAACTGGATTAGGGGACGTTGAGGTTCTAATTAGACTAGGATCAATCGTAGTTAGCCTAATTACTATGTACATACTTGTAAATACGTTCTGTGATATGTTCAGTCACTTCTAGATTAAGCGTTCATTGTATTATTAACATAATCTGCTTCATAAGATTAGATAAATCTGTATTCCGCAGCCTCCCCCGGGAGCATGTTCCGTCGTCACAATGTATGTGTGCGAATGTGTGAGTGTGTGGATAGGCCCACGCAAAGGCGACTAGGCGGCGCCACCTTACGGGCTTGATTCCCACGATTTGTTACCGGCGAGCGAGAGAGCGCGCGAAAACGAACACTCAGGCAGTCAAGAGCAAGCAGTGATCGCGTGCGCAGCTCTCATCTGCACCTCGCGAACGAAGTCTTTGTTCGCCGTGTCCGTTGGTCTTCTGTTCCCGGTGAGCAACAACGAAAGTAACAGTCAACAACTCTAGCAACAGCAACAACTTACAATAGATTATTAAACAAACAAGAAGCTCACGCTTCTCAACTGGCGAGAAGCCCATGCTTCTCAACGAATCACCAACCTATTGTTATTGGTCTCCACATCGCCAATATAACATGTTCGGCTTCACCGAGTCGAATATCATCTGGATCATCGTCACCTTCATCGCAGAATCAATTGTGTGAAAGTGTGTGTGCGTGTGTAAGAGCTCTCGGTGCGTGCACGGCCACGTGGTTGGTGAATTTCTCCTCGCGCATTCTTTCTCTTTGTTCTAACAAATACCGGCGTGCGTACGAGTCACTTGTGCGGCGTTACTCGCTATTTTAATCTCCTTTCGTCATCCAATCTTTGTATCAATTCTTTTATCATCAGTGCATTTTCAAATAAAAGTGGTTTTTTATGCCTTGCAGGCTTTTTCCCTAAATAGTGTCTTAATTCTTTGTCTTTCGAATAAACAATTTCATAATTAAACTTAAACCAAAAATCGTGAAAATTTCCAACAAAAAAAAACAATTGACCAAATACCATCTAAGGTATTTGGATATTATCATAACATAAAACAGAAACATATAGCCAAAGTATTGCGAAGTAGTTTTCTTTGCAGCTGTTAGCAACATATTGCCAAAGTATTGCCGAGTAAATTTCTTTGCAGCTATTGACAACATTTTGCTAACGTATTGCCGAGTAGTTTTCTTTTTTATCTGCAACTATTGGCAACATATTGACAACGTATTGCGGAGTAGTTTTCTTTGCAGCTATTGGCAACATACTGCTAATCGTATCCAAGGCAAGTGTTGGCAATTGTATTCCAATAGCAATTGCCAATATGTTCTCAATACATCCTCAATACTTTTCACCAATATCTCTGCAATCTATGGCCAATAATTTCTATTTTTACGCGGGTGGTTTGAAAGATTTTGAAGATTATGGAATGCTTTTAATCCACTATTGTATATCTTTTTTAATTAATTCAGATACGGTCATTTTCTTTCTATAATTTCCGGCCTTATTTATGAGAGCTGCTAGTTTCTCTCTTTCCATTATTTTAGTGTACATCCAGGCATATTCGACGGCATGACATGCAGCTACTAATTTTCCTAAAAGCTGTGCTAGTTCAATTATTTTACATTTGTTTTTAAGTAAAAGTGATTTCAATCTGGTGCATAAGTCTTGTTTTTTCTCTTTTGTTAATTCAACCGTGCAGTTTTGAGAGTTTATCATCACACCTAAATATTTAATATATTGACAGGGTATTAGGACCGATTTTTTGAAATTTATAACAAAACCTAATTTTTGTAAGAAGTTTGCAGTTGCTTCGGCATTTTTTCTACAGCTTTCGCGAGTATTCGCTACGCCCAATATGTCATCTAAATAGATTATTAATCTAAAACCTTTTTGTCTTAAATATTGTATGACAGGTTTCATGATTTTCGTGAATATGTATGGACTTGAGCACAGACCAAAAGGTAACACAATGAATTTATAATAATTTTTACCGAATTTAAAGGTTAAATATTTTTGACTTGATGGATGTATCGGTACTAAAAGGTATGCATCTTGCAAGTCCAAAGAAAACATAAAATCATCTTTAGATATTAATTTTGATGCCGTTCTTAAATCTTCTATTTTGAAGTGCTCTGTTTTTACATATTTGTTAAGGCGTTTCAAGTTGAAGATGAATCGGTATGAACCATCTGCCTTTTGTCTAACGAAATAAGGAGATAGAAATTGGCCTTTACTCTTGTTACATTTGCCTATAGCACCTTTTTGAACTAATTCTTTGATGCAATATTTAGTAATTCCCTTTTGAGCTTTAGGAAAATTAGATTTTGCGTTAAAAAATATTTGTTTTGGCTTTTTCCAAAATGGGATTTTGTAGCCTTGAACGCATTGAAGAATAAATTTATCTTCCGTTATCTTTCCCTATTCCTTAACCTTTTAAGGACGGGGATTTTTACGTTAAAATTTGACTTTTTTTTTGCACAATATTTGTGCATAAAATGAAAGAATATGTCACGTAGAGTGCCTGACAAAATTGGTGGTCGATATATCGACCAGTCCCGTCCTTAAAAGGTTAAAAAATAATTTGAGCCTGCCGGCGATTTTGTTACCTACTTTTTGGTTTATTCTTCGTTGGATTTTTGGGGTTGAAAGTAAACTGGTTTGTGTTGTTGGCCCCCCCTTGACTTTTTGAAAAACAGCTGTGGTCGGCCCCGTCCTCTAGTACTCGTACCTCTCGCTCGATTCGACTAAGGACGGCTCTCCGTCGAGCGTTTGCCGTTTCCCGTTTTCGCCATGGGAGTCTTAAATTTGTTTGGTTTTGTGACGTCCTTGAAAAGTTTGTCAGAGTCCTTAAATTCTTTCATTTTAGTTGAAAGCTCTTTCCCAAAGAGTTGCTCGTCTGGTTCAGCTTTCTTCAACAGAGCTTGGAATTGTTTCGTAAATTGAGGCGCGATGTAGGCCCTTCTAGTCTCACTCTCTTTGTGTTGAATTTCAGATAAGAGTTTTGCTGCATCGACTAATTTTTCAACAAATCCCTCCAGGTCTACTCCTTCGATCTCATCCGCCTCGTTTGCAATTGTTATGGCTGCGCCTAATGCTGTTAGCGCTGCAGCAGCTGAGCGTTGTACTTCATATCTGTATTAGTCTTTTTTAGCAGCTTTTTCGGAGAGTTTCACCTGCAGTGGCTCGTTAAAAATTGGAGCTTCAAGGGCTTTAGGAATATTGTACTTTTTAATAGCTTGATCGCGCTCTTCTTTGTCGAGTCCTTCGATAGCATAATGTTGCCAGTATGAAATGAGTTCCGAGTGAATCACCACTTCTTTGGCCTTTGATTTGTTTGGGTGTTCACCTAATGATTTTGTCACGAAAGCCTGTAGAGGTTTCTCGGTGATATCCGACACCTCTTGCTCTTGGTTCGCTTCGTGTTTGTTTGAGCCGGCCTTGTCAGCATTGAGCTCGGCGCCAGAGCTTTGTGTTTCGCTTCGCTCTGAAAGGAAATTCATGGAATTTCTTAAATTCGAGCATTATCGAGAATTTTTGTCAAATAATATTCTGAGGTTGATCGAGTGATCTGCCTACAATCTTTTTTATTTGACGTTCTTATTGTTAAGAATTTTTCTCGTTTTCATTTGAGACTAGTCGCGTGACTTCGTTCTCAAAATCTGGAATTTATTTGAGGCTAGTCGTATGAGTTCGCTCTCAATTCTTGCGTCTATTTCGAGGCTAATCGTATGATTTCGTCCTCGATATTTGTATATTACACAGAGAGTGTATGGGGCAAATTAACAATTTTGTACGCGCTAAGGCGCTCTCTCTTTCACGCTATAAGCGTAAATGTCTGGCCCAGAAGAGTATCGGGCGCCGGAGTGATGAAATTATTTGCCCTCTGATGAATTGATTACCTATGGATGTTTTACTTACTTGTGTCGTCCGTCCTTTGCTCGTCCTCAAAGTGCTCCTCATCCTCCTCATCCTCCTCGTCATAAGACGACTCACTTTCCGAGTTATCATCATCGACGAAGTCTTCGATTGATAGTTCGTCCTGAGCCTCCTTGAGCTTTCCTAATTGAAGTTCAAGATCATCCTTCCTTTTCTTGAGTTTCTCAATTTGAGATGACACTAGTTTGCGTTTTGACATTTTTTTTTTTTAAAGTCGTTTCACTGAAATTTGCTCACTTTCACTAATAATTACCGAGTTTATTAGCAACACGTGCGCACCCGGCGACAACGGAAAGGAATATGACGTGACGTAATACGGATTGACGGATCGACGCCGGGGCACTAGGCCCCACTTTTTTCAAATCTCTGAACCGATCCGTTGTGCCATCTGGCGAGCAGCTGGGGAAATACATTTTGGAATATAATCTTGAGAGCGATGCTTGAAGTATAATTAAAATTAAAAATTGTATTTATTATAATTTTAAGTACGATTCATTGTATAGCTTATAACTCCAAAACTAGAATTGAACTCAACTTCAAACTTTGTAAATATCATGTTCTAATCATGTTTAACAAGCTCCAAAATAAATTGGAACAAATTGCGAGTTCGTCAAAACAGACGATTTTCAGGCTATTTTTGGAGTCACTCTTTACAGAATTTTAACTAAATAAATTCTGATAAACATATTCTGTTAAGGATAATCTCTCACTCGCAGCTATTTCCATAGCGGTTCCGCAAATAAAAAAGCGCTTCTTGAGTTCATTCTGTTATTATCACGAAAGATATATTGAAATGAAACAAATTGGAAATATTCTTCTTAGTACCTAGTTTTTTACGGTTTTACACAATTTTTGGCTAATTTCATTTGTTTGTTTATAAAAAATTATAATCTAGAAAGCTGCTAAATATCGATCGACGAAAGTCTGTTAAGAATTTTAGAAATTTCAATTTTTTTATTATTACATTGTTTTTCAAGACTCCTAGTAAGCACATGTCAAATATGAAGTCTTCATATTAACTAGAAAAAATTATATAAGTTATTTAGTAATATGATGTTTCGCTACGACGCCAATTTTTAATGATAGCTTTGTTAATAACTTTTGGAAAAGGACTGCTACCTATGTTTTTTTAAATATCAAACACTTCAGCATTGAATAAGCTTCATTTTGTCAAAATTTTGCGAAATTCTAAAGAAATTTTCTGTTATTTTTTAATTATATACAGGGTGGCCCATTTTAAGTGATCCACTCAGATATCTAGATTGAAGTGAGTTTTATCGAAAAAAGTTTCAGACAAAAGTTACTCAACTTTGAGGGGGCCATGTTTCTATGACCTTGGATTTGACCTTGGAGGTCATGTTCAAGGTCATTTCAAGGTCAACTTTGTTTTTTTAAATAGGAACCCCCCATTTTTGACCCCGGATTCGGAAAGAGCGGAAAATTTTACGTCCAAAACGGTATTTTTAAATTTTTTTTCATGGCCTTGAGAAGGTCGATTTAAGGTCAAATGCTTGAAAAACTGCATAAAAGCGTTATTTTAATTTTTAAGATATCGAAAAATGACCTCTACAAAATTTGTTCAGAACAGAGTGGGCCACCCAATGCACCAAAAACCTTTGACCTTTAACCTCATTTTGAAGGTCATTTCAAGGTCGAAGTGTTTTTTGTAATGGAAACCCCTCTTTTTGACCCCGGATTCGCACATAGCGCGAAACTCAACACAATACCTTATCCAAACGTCGGATTTCGCGCTATGTGCGTATCCGGGGTCAAAAAGAGGGGTTTCCATTACAAAAAACACTTCGACCTTGAAATGACCTTCAAAATGAGGTTAAAGGTCAAAGGTTTTTGGTGCATTGGGTGGCCCACTCTGTTCTGAACAAATTTTGTAGAGGTCATTTTTCGATATCTTAAAAATTAAAATAACGCTTTTATGCAGTTTTTCAAGCATTTGACCTTAAATCGACCTTCTCAAGGCCATGAAAAAAAATTTAAAAATACCGTTTTGGACGTAAAATTTCCCGCTCTTTCCGAATCCGGGGTCAAAAATGGGGGTTCCTATTTAAAAAAACAAAGTTGACCTTGAAATGACCTTGAACATGACCTCCAAGGTCAAATCCAAGGTCATAGAAACATGGCCCCCTCAAAGTTGAGTAACTTTTGTCTGAAACTTTTTTCGATAAAACTCACTCCAATCTAAATATCTGAGTGGATCACTTAAAATGGGCCACCCTGTATATATAAATTGATTTCTATGTATTTCTCCATAAAAAGTAAATTTTTCTTCCTTGCTTTTGAGAATCAATATAGAAAATTTCATTATAATTTCACGAAAGTTTGACTAAATGAAACTTATTCAATTCTGAAGCGATTCACGTTTTAAAACACGTGTGTAACGGTCTTATTCAAAAATTATTATTAAAGATATCATTAAAAATAAGCGCCTAGGCACAATGCCATATTGCTAAACAACTTCTATAATTTTTTCTCATCAATACTAAGACTTCATTTAATATGCACATACTTGGAATGTTGATAAACAATTTATTAATAAAAAAATTTTGAAATTTGTAACAGACTTTTTGTCAATAAAAATTACATGTTTCGCATCATTCAAGGTTATAATTTTTTATAAAGAAACAAATATCGTTAATGAAAATTAGATATGACTGTAAAAAATTAAATACACTAAGACGAGTATCTCCAATTTTTTTCATTTCAATATATCTATAAATATATCCATTTCAATATACTTATAAATATATCCACTGCGAGAGAGAGAGAATGTCCTTAAATTTATAGAAATGTAATTAAATATATTATAACGGGGTTCCTGCTCAGCTTCGCTCGAGCGGGACACGCTATATAAAAGTAACCGCGGAAAAGTAGGTGAATGGCTCTCCAGAGCAGATCGGCACTCCTGCACCGAACGTCCTGGGTCCAGCAGCTCAGTTGCCTCCTTCTCGAGTCGAAAACTTGGCCCGCGGAGAGTGTCGTAAGCTTTCGTGTGACAAGGCGCGACAGCCAAAGAGAAGCTAAAGCGCGTAATCGCATGTACGACTAGGAATCGAGGAAAATGATAGACAGCAAAGGGATGAGTTCAATTCATTTATTTAACAAACAAACGGTAGCGTAATTCGCACGCAGTGTAAGCGGCAGCGTGGATGGTCTCGCGTCAAATTTCAGTGCAGCCGACGAGCTGCGCACACGCTACGCAGCGAGGACTTGCACGCGCACGCCCTGTTAAGAGCGGTTAGGCACAATGGCGACGGCTAACCGGCGCGCACAGTTCGAACGAGAAAACAACGTCGCTTGCTCGTGTCGGCTCTTTAGCCGGTCGAAATGTCTCGGTAACTTGACTGAGATGGAAACGGCAACCGCATTTGCTCGTTGTAAACCGGACGAAGCGACAGTATGCGTGTAACGGAATCCTATTCGTAGGCCGAACGAAAACAAAAAAAGAAATAACCAACCATGCGGAAAAGTATCGATGAGGATACACAGTTTAAGCAACGCAGGAGGAGAGAGCCGTAGAGAGAGAAGCCAAGTTAACAAACTGGTACTTACAGTGCTGAAACGGACGAGTCGCTCTATAGTTAATTCGTGAGTAACTCACGGCGCGCTCGCCTATAAAGGATTGGGTAGTCGCGTTATCGCTTCTTGCGTTCACGCTTTTTCTCCCTGCCGCTATCACCGAATGTTCACAAGACTCTTCAGGAACAACGTTGGCGGTTGTCACGTGTGTGGCTACTTAACTTAATTGCTCTCTCCGGTAATTAGCGAGCTCGCGTTGCCGGTTGCTTCTCCGTTGCCGGTCGGAAGCAGACTTACTTTTTCTTTGTTACCGCTCTCTCTCTCTCCTCGAAGGGGGCCGCCTTTCAGCGGGGTCCGCGCCGCGAGTCGATATCGATGATCGATCGATAGTCGCGTCACTTACCCGTTCGCTGACGTCCACGCTGTAATTACTTAAACACGTTTACATGATAATTAATTATTATTATTTGTTGGCTTCCTGGGAAGAGAGAGGCATAACGAACTTACATGCCGTTCGTTATATCCCCCTTCCCCAGACGCTGGTTGCCAGTGGGGTACCAGCTCGAAACCTGGTCTCTCTCTCTTCTTATGTAAACTTATATTCATTTGAGGGAAATTAATTAACGTGCGGGTCATCGCATCAAAGCGGAACAAGCGCGGTCACAAGGATGGGAAGGGTGAGGTAGTTGCAGTGATTCTCTCCTTTACAAACTAGGCGTTTATTCGCTATAATTTTCCTTAAGTTAGAATTATAAAAATAAATAATATATTGGGTTTATTGATTAGGGACGCAGCCCTCGCATAGCGTTACGCGCATCGCGTAACAATCAGGTACGGTAACGAGAGAAACAAAAAGAAGGAAACATGAACGCAAATCGCTATAAGCGTATACGCTGAGCGTAATCGCTTATCGGCTGCTCCGGTGGTCGCGCAGTTCGCTAGCAGTGTAAGCGTAATGCGCCCGCTGCTCGGACAGCCACAACGGGTGGAGCGAGAAGTTTGGGCAGTCCGTGGAGCGTGCAACGCCGGTTAAGCCGCACATGCGGCAGAACCTCACGCCTATGAGGTCGTCTCGCGGCCCTTCCCACTTTCCGCAGGGCTCAGTGCGGAAAGCATTTTGGAGCGCCATGTGACCAGGTGGCCGTCTAACGCTGCTCCTTGCGAAGCTCTGGGTCGCGTCTTCGGACCATGCCGGAGCTTGGGCAACCACCATCTCCGAGGCCGGTCCTGTTCGGTCCGCCCGACGGGTCTGGCGATGAGCTGCTTGGGACTCCGAGTCCCAAGACCCCACAGCTTGGCGGATCCGGAGCGCTTGACGACGTGGGTCCGCTACCGAGCGATCTAACTGCCTCATCTGCGCGCGGAGGTCGTCCACCTCCCGCAATCTTGCCTCGACGGCCTCGGCGAGCGCACGCTTCTCCTCTTCTACCAGACGGAGGGCCATCCATTCCGACCGGGTTTCAGCGAGGTGCGCTTTCCAGTCAAGCTCTCGCTCAATCTTAGCGGCGCTCTCTCCTGCCGCGCGTCTCGCTTCTGGGCCCACTACTCGGAGGAAGTCCGCCGCCTCCGTGAGGACGGCTGTCTCCTCCAGATTGGCGGCAATTCGGGCAGCGCGGACGCTTCTTACACGCTGGAAGAGGTCCCTCCAGGTCTCTTCCAGGTTTT